TTACTGTTTGTCGGATCTTCTGACCTTTGCTTCTACATGTACGGATGGAGAGATACATATTTACTTGTAATATATGTTGATATGTGTATAGTATGACTTTTTAGTAAGGATTAGATCAACTATTACATAAAAAGTACCTAGAGAAGTTGCTAGCAAACAGAACATGCTGTTGGTACTAAGTATTAGCCATATTTTTTTTATAATTTTGTTCAGTAGTATAGAGATCATAAAACACATCAATAACAGCATTTCTTTTTTACCTCAAGTTTATTGATTATATATATCATATCCAACAATCCTCATCAGAGACCAAATACGGAAAGTTTTACCCACTAAGTAAGAAACTATTTTCTTTTTTCCTCATAATTGACACATAATTGTGATTGCGTGTATTTGGGAGTGCAGTGTGGTATTTTGATCCATGAACATGGTGCATAATGACCAAATTGGTACAACCAGCCTTTCTGTGACCTTGGCACCTTTGAAAGTCTCCTTCTAGCTCTACATCAGCAGTACAGTAAGTTCTAAGCCACAGTCACCCCACTCTGTTATGGAACATGACATCTTACTCCTATTTACCCTATCTTGGTACCCATGTTCCAATGTTCCTGACTTCCTTCTTTTCCCCTGTTCTCCTAATGATCACCATTCTACTGCATTCTTTGAAAAACATTTTAGTTCTCATATATAAATGGGAACACACATGTCTTCTTATGTCTGGCTTATTTCACCTAAATTAATGTCCATCAGTTGTAACGAGATGGCTTTCTGTTTGGCAAAAGCATTTTATAAAGGTTTCTTAATTTATTTGTTTATTTTCAGAGACTTTTATACATGCATATAGCATGTTTTCATCAAATCCATCCACATTCCCTCCTCGTCTAATTCCTCCGCTGTTGTTCTCACCACTTCTCCCTTCTAACTTTGTGTGCTCCTTTTGAAAACCTACTGAGTCTACTTAGTGTTGATTATATGTACACGGGTGTAGGACCATCTACTGGAGCATGCATGGATAGCCTTTCAGGGACCATATCCACGAAGAAAACCAATACATTAACTCTCTCTCCCAATAGCCATCAGTTGCCAATAGCTCCTCAGTTAGGGGTGGGACTTCATGAGCCCCTCCTCCATTAATGCTGGGGTTTTGACTGGCTTGTTTTTTTCACAAGTCTTATACATATAGTCACAGCAGCTATGAGTTCTGTGTTATAACTGTTTCTTTTAAAGAACAGCATCTTTAGATATATTTGAAGGATTTTTTTTTAAGAAGCAAACAAGTTACACTTAGTTTTTCTGCTTCCTTCTCTGTCCCCTGGGAAGGAAGGAAGTAATGAACCTCTGAATTCTGTGTTTTGTGTTTGTGATTGATATTGGGTTCTGTCATCCAACTTTATTTCAATAGTTCCGCATTTATTAGTCCTATTATTAGTTGTTTCTAATCCAAACAGACATACAACTTTATCAAATAAATGCCTTTTCGGAGCCCTTTCCACAAAATATGCAATTTTGGTCCAGTAAGAAGCTCCCTCCCTAGGGTGGTAACTGTGGGGAGTGGACTATCATGCACAGATCCTAGAGAGCAATTCTTGATAGAAGGAGGCTAGTTCATTTGTTAGTATACCCCGCAGAGAAAAGCATGCCTATTTGTATCAGTTTATTAGGTGTTCATTACCTGCCTGACATAATAACTGGTGTAGAACAGGGGCGGAAACAATGGATGAGCGTGTGGCTGAGTCTAGAGAGCTTAGCCCCACAGATATTCTGTAGACTGAGACTGTAGCCAAGCACTTGAAGCCTAGATCAGGGGAGCTTCCAAACAGAGCAGTGTCTGTTTTCTACCAGGATATGTGTGACAGACAGCCCTGCAGAGCAGCAGACAAAGCTGCTCATGAGTTCATGAGCTTGATACATGTGACGGTAGTGGTGGTCATGATGGCATACATGTCATTTCTTGAGCATCAACTGTTGTGGGCTCTGTACATGTCATCTAATTTAATCCTTAGAATAACAGAAAGACAGGTATTATTGTACCTGTTGTCTACACCGGGAATCCTAGAGAGAGGTGGAGTGGCCTTATCAGGGTCACATAGCTCTAGTAGTTGGCTTGAACCCAGGTCTGCTTTGCTTTCAGAGCTCACATTTTTCCCTTACCGTATTATTTCTGTGCCATGCTCTGGAGTCTTTAGTACCTGGAGCAGGATCAGAAAAGAACCTCTTGAGTTTGATGATCCCATTCTCGGCTCTGTGGTAGCTGGCTAACACAATGAAAGAAATGCTAATCAGAATGCTTCAAAAGACCCACTGAATTTTAACTCTAGTGATCAGGCTCAGAGAACTGTATGTCGACTGCAAATTTGTCAAATGGATAAAGGTTTCTTGTAGATGTTTTAAATAATCAGAGTGAGATGTGCCAATATATTAGAATAACACCACAAATTTGCAACCATCCACTTGGATTTGAGTCATACATGGATAACTTAATTGTGTGGTCTTGGGTAAGTCATTTCTTGACTTTAAACTTGCTCCATTATTTACAGATGGGAAGGGTGAAGTCTTATAATATGTACCTAACACTGTAGCTGTGATAATCAACAAGATCTTATTTAGGGTGTTTTCTGGACTAAAATGCAATCAATGTACGTCTTGTGGCTAATAACTTACATTCCTGTCTTTCTTTGCAGTTTTTGTTTTTCTTATACCTTATAGACATTTTACAAACATTTTAATTTGTTTTTCTTACGAGTTTTCTTTGATTTGATGGAAAAATGATTTCCCCCTTATAATCGGAACAAATATGATTGGCTACAAATTTTATCCAATTGGAAAAATTACACTTAGCATTTGGATTGTAAAAGTCATTTGAACTGAACAGGTTGGAAAGAATGTTCAGCAGCAGTTAGTGTGAAAAAGTGTTCAGGGGTTGGAGAGACGGCTAGGTAGTTAAGAGTGTGCGCTGTGTTTCAGAGGACCTCGGTTCTCTTCTCGGCACCCATGCAGGGTGGCTTGCAGCCTCCTATAGTTCCAGCTTCAGGGAATTGAGTGACCTCTTCTGGTTTCCACGGACACTTGCATTTACGTACGCATACCCACACAAAGGCACACGCAGACACATAATTAAATATGAAATCTTTTTTACAAAAGTATTTGAAATGTGGCAAGCTCAGGAAGAGCAGGACAAAGTGAACTGGATGAACGAGAGGACCCTGAGTTTCTAGAACCACGGGGATAGCACCATCTGGAGCTGGTCAGCCCACCTTGCATTCAATGTGCAACTCGTTGATCCTTTGTGAAGGAGTGGGGTTTCCCATGCGAGACAGTCCTCTGGGTCATCAATCTTTTAAACTATGTCTATTTTAATGGGTGAGAAGTGGGACGTCTCAATGCTTTTAATTCCACTTCCTTAAAGGTTAAATATTCACCCATTTCCAAGAACTCATTTATTCTACTTCTGGGTATTTATCCAAGAAAAACAAAGCATACACTCAAACAACAATTTGTCGAACAATGTCTATACTAACTCTTCAGGATAGCCCCACATGGAAATAGTCAAATGTTGATGAACTGGAGAATTAAGAAAACCAAATTCTGATGTTTCTTTATATTTGAGAATACAAATAAATAATTATATAAGTAGACAAAAGGATAGAAAAGTAAAATTCTTTTGCACTTAAAGTAACATGGATGCAACTAAAAAACCAATTACAAGAGAACCAAGGTTCAAAATTACTGTGCGAGTATAGGAAAGAAATGAATCTATAGTGGTAGCAATGAGAACAGGGATTACTCTACAACAAACACCACCAGGGAACTCCCTGAGTCGATATGGGATAGTCCATATTTCTACAGAAGTGTGGGTTTTACGAGCTTGTGTGGATTGTCAAAACTCATAAAGCTATCACACTTAAGCTCTGTTTGTTTTACTATGGGTTGGTTACACTTCAGGAGAGTTGATCTATAAAATCTAGAAATCTAAAGAGAGAGTGAAATGAGGGCCTTTGAGATTTTGAGGGGCTTTGGAGACCCCACAAATCCTTCCAGGAAGAGTCCTAACACTTACCTGTACGAGACACGAATGCTGCCATAAGCAGCCAGATCCTCAACCTGCTAAGGCCTTCCTATGAGGAATCAGGATGCCTGCTATGTGCTGTTTCAACGATCGAAAGTGAATGTTTGGGAAACAGTTTGGTCTCCACAGAATGAAGGGAATCAGAGCTGTTGTAGCGTGGACTGGGATGCCTTGGGTGACTGTGAGCTCCCTGTCACTTAGTGAGGCTGAGTAACTGTGGAACAGTGTGTGTGTGTGTGTGTGTGTGTGTGTGTGTGTGTGTGTGTGTGTCTGCGCTTACATTATGGTGAGGGAAGTTTGATAGAATACCTCCATTCCTTTTCCAGTGTAGATTCTACAATTAGGGGTTGTTTCAGATAAATGGTTGCACGTGGGGCTTTGGAGTCAGCCTGTCTAGACATGAATCTGGGGCTCTTCAGCTTGTCACTAATGAGATAAATGTTTATGCAAACTGAGAGCTCTAAGCCCCAATCTTTTTATAGTAGAAATGGTATCTCATGAGTGTGTATATGTGCCCATGCATGTGTGTTAAGGCACTTTTATTTCCTTCCAGTCTATGACCCACTCCCAAAGCTATATGACTTTAAACGATTGTACATGAGGTACGTCAGATGAAGGATCTACCCAAAGACTGAGCACATGTACTAAGTGCTTTCTGCATGCTCAATAAATTTTAGTTATATTATTATTATTATTCATCCATATAACTTGGAGTCTAATAATTTTATTTTTTTTCGTATTTTTTTACTTAGTTTTTATTCGTAATCATAAACTTAACTCTGCAATCCAGCTAGACTTGAAGGGGAATGAGGAAAATATGGAACCCAAAGAACTTCAGTGAGAGCAGAGATTACAGGGTACTGTGAGCAGATGGGGCTGGGGCGCTCTCCTGAGCTACAGAAGGAATGATCTGGTGGGTAAGAAGTCAAAAGAATTAGAGTTGTCTACAGTCGGAAATGGTGATCTTCTTGCTGGTCTTGCCATTCCTGGACCCAAAACGTTCCATGGCTTCCACAATGTTCAAGCCTTCTTTCACCTTTCCAAAGACTGATGTAGGTGGGTGTTGCTTTCATTGGTTAATTAATAAAGAAAACTGCTTGGCCTGATAGATCAGAACATAGATAGGTGGGAAAGACAGAACAGAATTGTGGGAGAAAGAAAGCAGAGGCAGGCGAGGCTATAGCTCTCCTCTCCAAGATGGACGCAGGTTAAGATCCTTCCCGGTAAGCCACCACCTCGTGGTGCTACACAGATTATTAGAAATGGGTTAATCAAGATGCGAGAATTAGCCAATAAGAGGCTGAAACTAATGGGCCAAGCAGTGTTTAAAATGAATACAGTTTCCATGTAATTATTTCGGGGGTAAGCTAGCCAGGATCCAGGCGGGAACGCAGCCCGCCGCTCCCATTGACAACAAAAGACCACGTGTTTGCCATCCAGCCACTCAGTCTTGGTGGTGCAGATAAAAAACTGGGAACCGTTTGTGTTTGGTCCAGCATTTGCCATGGACAAGATGCCAGGACCTGTATGCTTCAGGATGAAGTTCTCATCCTCAAATTTTTCTCCGTAGATGGATCTGCCACCAGTGCCATGATGGCGTGTGAAGTCACCACCCTGGCACATGAATCCTGGAATAATCCTGTGAAAGGAAGAACCTTTATATTCAAATCCCTTCTCTCCAGTGCTCAGAGCATGAAAGTTTTCTGCTGTCTTTGGAACTTTGTCTGCAAATAGCTCGAGGAAGACGCAGCCCAAGGGCTTTCCATCGGCCGCGATGTCGAAGAACACGGTGGGGTTGACCATGGCTGCAGCAAGCGGTGAGAGAGGACAGCGGCGTCTGCAAAGCCTCTAATAATTTTAGTCAAGAGTAGATGTTTAGGTTAAAACTTAGCAGCTCATATTAGACTCAAAGTGTTTGTTGTTTCTAACAAAAAAAGAATGATTAACCTTACATAGGTTAATTAAAAATGGGAGAATGAGCCTTTGTAGCAGAGGGTCAAACTTTGATTAATAAAATACGCAGTACGTGTATGTCTTCAGTGGACGGGGATTCTTTTATGGACTGGAGCCATTGTAGTGTAGCTGGCCTTACAGGGAGAAGGATAGTTGGTAGGATTAGGCTTATGTAGATCCCTGTCTTGTGGGATTTGTGGCTATAATACCATGAGGAGTGTCAGCGAGGAAAGGATCAATGTCCAATCATCTAGGCCAGAATGCTTTGCTTCCCAAGAGGTTGGATAGATTAAAATTTTCATTTACTTAGAAACAGGTCATTCAATTTCATGGCTCATAATTTGAAGTAATGAAAGGATGCATTTAACACGTTTCCCTTCTTCCCCCAGATCCCCAGCCAGCCAGGTCCTCTGCAGTGGCAACCTGTGCAACGGGCTTCCCATGCATTGTTCCAAGGATGTCTTATTCCACTTATGGAGGCTTGGGAATCCTTGATCTATTTTTATTTTAAATAGACTGCCTCGGTGTATTTTCTTTTAACATTATGCAATTAATGCTTCATTTCAAAGTTGAGAGGAGACTCTAAGGGAAGGGTAGAGATTAATGGGAAGAAGAAAGGAAGACTAAAGAGAGAGAGAAGAGAGGTGAGTATATGGTCCATATGAAATCTAGCACTATGTTAAATGAATATGCACCAATCAAACAGAAAACGTACTATATGTAAAACTTGTCATTTCAGAACTCAAAGTCTTTCGCTATAGTAGCTGCTTTGTGTTCTACTGCGCTATATACCTTGTCCTCTGTTTAGCCAGCAAGGTGCTGACAGCCTGTAGGCTGTCTCCCACATCAAACTAATCAAAAGAACTTTGATAAAACGTTATCTGGTTCCTAGGTCATTGTACATGTGAAGCATATTTACAGAATGATTTTTAGAAGTAGATTTGTTCAGGGGCTGAAGAGACATCTCAGAGGATTAAGAGCACTTGCTGATCTTCCTGAAGACCCCAAAATTCAGTTCTGAGCACTCAACATCATCCAAATCACACCCATCTATAACTCCAACTCCAGAAGATATTATGCCTTCTCCTGGCATCTATGGGTACCCAGTCACACATGGCACACACCCACAGAAATAGAGACACAGACACAAATGCAAACACACAAATAAAACCTACAAACAGGTAGATTTGTTCAGTGAACTGGCATGTGTATCTATTTAAACTGTTTGATGATCTCCATTAAAGTCACGGCAATTTACCTTCCACCAGCAACATAAACTCAAATAGCAACTTGACACAGTCTCCTAGTTCTTGATCTTTGCTAGTCTGGTGAGTGAGAGGTGAGTTCAGCATCCCTTCACATATTTAACAGTGAGTTGTGTTTGCTTTCCTGGGCATAGTCTGCTTATAACCTTTTGCAAACTTTTGGGTTGGTGCAGTATGATAGTTTTTTCTTGTTCAGTGCTTTAAAACGAATATGCCTAAAATATTTCATTTGTATCTTATTTCCCTTCAGACTTCATGCTTATTTTAAAGTTTAATGTGCAGTTAAATTTAGGTTTTTTTTTTGTGTGTCCTATCAGTTTAAATACATTTATCAATTTGTGTAAATGCTACTATCAGGATATACTGTGGCTGAAGAGATAGCTTAGCAGTTAAGAGTATTGGCTGATCTTCCAGAAGATCCAGGTTTGAATCCCAGCTCCCACATGGAGACTCACAACCATTAATAACTCCAGTTCAAGAGTGTCTAATGACTTCTTCTGGTCTTTACAAACCCCGGGCATGTATGCAAAAGCCACTGTCCTAGGAAACTTTCTGCCAAGGCTCTTTTTAGTTAGACTCTCCCTACTTGTGAATATTGGCAACCATTGTTCTGCTCTCTCCTGGTCTTGCCTTTCTACAAACCTGATGTAAATGGAACCAGACACTGTCAGCCTTTAAAAACTAGTGTCCCCAGCATCAAGCCTCTAAGAGGCACTCTTGGTGCTATTATCAGGAACTGATTTCTCTTTATTGCTGAGTGACATTGCGTGTATGTATGCATGACAATTTCCTTATCCATTCAGCCTCTGAAGGACATTCAAATGTTTCAGAATTTGGTAATTATACAGAGAGCTGTATTACATGTTCATTCATTTTATGAGCATGGGTGTTTCGCTTGCATGTATGTAAATATATCATGTGTGTGCCTGGTGCCCGTGGAGAGCAGAGGAGGGAATGGGATCCCTTGGAACTGGAGTTACAGGTGGTTGTGAGCCTCCAAATGGATACTGGGAATTGAACCCCAGTCTTTGGGAAGAGTAGCCAGTGCTGTTAACTGTTGAGCTGTCTTTTCAGTCCCAGTATTCACGCTCTTAAGTGCACATAAGTAAGTTTGCATTTCTGTAGAGCAAATGTCCAAGTGCCAGTGTCTCTTTACTGTTTCCGTTGTTCACCATTATGCTTTTACATTTTCTTTCAATGTTACTTATTTATTGACAAATTTTGTTCTTTGACAACTTCATACATGTATATAGTGTATTCTGTTCATGGTTCTAATCTCTTCTTATTTCTCTCCCTTCCCTACCAGTTACTTTTCTTTCTTACAAACCTCCTTTCCTTTTTAGTAGTTTTTGTTTTGTTTAGTGTCTCATGGAGTGTAGTAGGAGGGCTGTTTGTGTGACTTTGAGCTTGGAATGAACGCATTTGAGCCTAATGGACTCACCCATGGATATACTACTGGATATTTTGTCTTCTTCTCCCTGAGAATCTGTTTGTTGCCAACAGAGCAACAGTAAGTAGTAGTGCTACCCCTGTGAGAACCTTTCTTCTTTGCAGTTGGTTATTAAGAGGGCAAGAGTTGTGTGAGCCCAGTGCTTATAGGCATAGCTGCTGTGAGCACTTATAAGCACAACCATGGCTGTGTTGTGCTTAGTAGGCGGCATCTGGGAGCCTTTCTCTCTGTCTTCCAGCTCTTCCATTCTTCCTGCCTCTTCTTTTTCAGGGTCCTCTAAATATGGTATCATGTAAGTAAGACTCTTTGATGCTATATTGTAGACACATTGAATTCTTTTAACACCTTCTGAGGATAGCTTGTTTTTCTTTGGCACATAATGAAATAATTAAATAATGTAGACTTGGTTGTATACATTTTGTGCCATGTGGAAAAGGCCTCCGTGACTTCCAAGCCTGTCTGGTTTGTTGGGACTCAACCTGTAAGCAGTTTCCTCCAAGCCCTTCCAGGGTTTAGTTTAGGGCCTTGTTAAACTAAGTAGAGAGTAGACCTTATCCTAACCTATGGCTGTTATTCCTAAGAGAAAGCCTTTCTGGTGTGTCAGTGTGTGGTATGAGAAGTTAATGAGGTGTTAAAAACTTTTCCATTGGGCTAGCCTCCTTCTCTAGCACTGCTTTAACTCTAGGGCCTCTGGTCTGGTCTCAAGCTGATTGTAGCCATTCCCTGAAAGACCTCATGTGGGGTCATATTCTGCTTATGAGAATATGCTTATTCTCATACTTATACTGAGTATGTAGGCTCAGTTTTGGATTGAGAGTTCTGGGCAGGCTGTTAGGTGTTTCTTCAGTGCCCTGCTTCATGGTTCCTGATCCATTAGCTGCCTTGAACTTTCTTTATTCTTTTTTGTAAATTTTATTAAATTATAAAAGTTTCCATTTCCGCCCCTCTTCCCAACACCCTCCCACTCCCCCCACTCCCTCTCCTCCTCCCTCTTCGTCCCTTAGGGCAGTCAGGGTTTCCTGCCCTGTGGGAAGTTCAAGTTCCTCCCCCCTCCCTCCAGGTCCAGGCAGGTGAGTATCCAAACAGACTGGATCCCCACTGCCTTGAACTTTCATCTTTGCCACCCCAACTTTGTGGCATCTCCACACTGCTTGGATTTCTGATTGTAGGTTAGAAAATTGTGCCAAGGAAGACTGCCCAATGTGAAAATGGACCCTCTACTTCCCTAGTTTTATAGTTTGTGTATGTGCATGTGTGGGCACTTGCACGCTTGTGTGCACTTACGTGTGTGTGCGTGTATATGTGTGTGTGGGAGAGAAAGAGAGAGAGATTGAGAGAGAGAGAGAGAGAGAGAGAGAGAGAGAGAGAGAAAGAGAGAGAGAGCAAGTCTGGTACAGCTACTTCTATCAGAGATCTGCTTGAATGACAGATCCAGGATGATTTCCTAAGAGCCAGGGGTCTTTTGCTTGCAACCTAACTTTTCATCAAGGACAGCTTTGCGTTTTCAGCTGTCAGAGAACTCTGTGCTTAAGGTCCTGGGGATCTGACCTGGTTTGGTAATGTTTGTGTTCTTCTGTTTGTTAAATTGAGTGAATTGGGAGCCCTTTTCCAAAGAGCTGAAACACAGCTTCTGTAAACTGCACTAGGTAATGAATTTTTAATTTTCAGCCCAGTTCTACCACGGCAGTAAAAACAAGTTCAATTATATGCTTATTGGGAATTCTTGATTCTTATAAATTCTAAGGCTTTTTATTACAGCAGAGATTAGATTTTTTTCCCCCTCAGCACAGCACGACTTCGGGACAGCTCTGTCCTTCGCAGAAGGGAATTTTCTTATCTGTGCAATAGAGACAAGGTCAGGAAAGGAGAGTAGAAAACAAGATTGAAGAGCTGAGCAGGGTGGCACACACCCATAACCCCAGCATTCAGGAGGTGGAGGTGGGGGAATCAAGAGGACAAGGTCATCCTAGACTAGCTAGCTGGCGCGCTTGAGGCTGGTTGGAACTACAAGGCTGTTTTAAAAAATAAAAAAAAATTGGACAATTTTCTCTTTTAGTCTGAATGGTGTTATGTAATAACGGATTATAAATCACAGCTGCATAACTTTTCTGATGTGGCCATGTACTCTAATGCACTCTCCTCGGCAGGAGGC